TTGATTTATTATTTTTTTCCCCATTCCATGCCTGTTCCTTAATATCCTGCTCTCTGTCTCCCGGGGACTACGCATAAGAGATGAAAGCGCAGAAAACCAAACAAGCCATTGGCGGTGCTCACTCAATTGATTTTTACACAAAATTTGCCTTCATGCACGAAGGATGGAAAAATGATCCCATTAATAATAAATAACAAAAACAAATGCAGGGAGGAAATCAATAGAAGCACATCTGCTATCATGGGAGCTGCGGAGGGGGGGGGAAGCCCCCAGATGTACAAAAGCGCATGTGGGAAGGGAGGAGGGCGAGGGGAGGGAGGGGAGGGCCTCGGGACGGGGCACGTGGGGACACCTAGCACTGGTGGGTTTGGGGCTGTGGGGTGCTGGGGTTTGGTGTTGGGGGTGCTGTGGTGCAGATGTGAACTGTTGGCAGCCCGGCAGCAGCGTGCGTGTGAGTGTGTGTGAGTGTTGCTGCCCACCGGAGCAGGGTTCAGCTGCCCGCATCCCGTGGGAGCTGCAGGGCCCCGCTGAGGGTCCTGGCTCCTGGCTGCCCCTGCAAACCCGGGTGCAGAGCAGCTCATGTGCACTCGGGGTGGCACCAGGGGCTGGCTAAAGGAGCAGCCGCTGGCAAGCGGGGCACAGGCGGGACCTGGGGCCATGTTTATTTTCCAGAGAAAACTGGTGATTTTCAGCTGCAAAACTTCTAACTTCCAGTCTTTTTTTTTTCTCCACACTTCCCCAAGGTTTCACTTCTCCCAAGTTTGCAAGGAGGAGGTTCTCCCTCCCTGGGAGACCTGTCCAGTTTTGGATAAAAATTGTTTCTTAGGAAAGCAGTTTCTGCTGGAACTGATCTGTGCTGAGAGCCCAGCCTTTGCTGCAGGCCCCCATGCATGGGACTGTCATCCACAGGGCTGGAGCAAGGATCATCATGTGCACTCGAGAGATGTGGGGCTTCGGGGTGAGGTACCACCATGGCACTGGGGCCAGAGGATGGGGAGTCCCAGCACCCCAGGCTGCCCAGCCAAACCCGGTTCATCGAGGGCAGAGCAGCTGGAGCAGCTCCAGGACAGTCACCCGCCGGCAAGCAGGGCTTCCAGGGTGAGCAGGGGACCCTGAGAAGGGAGCTCTGGCTGGGCAGCCTGGCTGTCCCCAGCAGCCCGTACCACTGCTGGCCCGTCGCCACCGAAACGAGCCCGGCGCTCAGCCTGGCACAGAGACAGGACTGTCCCCTCCATCACCCTGGACCAGCCTGGGGATGCTAAGCGCACGTGGCTGCAGGCTTTAGGTGGGCATTCCCAGCAAAGGGACAGGAGCTCCGTGGAGACTCACGGACTCAAAAGAAAATACCGCTTTACACCAATACAAAGCAGAAGGAATTCATTCCAGTCGCACAGCTCCGCTAGTTCTTTTCAGAACAGAGAGTTTTAAAGCAATTAAGCAAATTTGTCTTTAATGACAGCAGTCGTGCTTTGCAGTTTGCCTGGAAATGTTAGATACAAATTTATTCCATCGTCAAGTCATAGTTTAGACTTTGTTTCTTTAAGCAAATGTAGAATTATATATGGAGATACATGTCACAACATTTTCAGTAGAATTTTATATGGAGGAATAAAACAATACACAGCAGAAAATGAAACACTTTGACTGCTTTTAAATCCAAAGAGAATTAAAAATGTACAATAATATTAT